TTTTTATTGAGGTCACCATAATGCTCTCTCTTCTCTTTAATTGCTTTGCCATATCATTTTTCTGTCTATGTGGCACCCTTAACACCTGTATACCGTGGAGCACTGGGAAGGGCCTTGGTTCACAGCCCAACAATCAACAAACGGATTAGTACGTGGCTACCTGCTGTCCTGAATCACGCACACACGAGAACGTTGGTCAGCCTGACTCCGAACATGACTCTCACTAAAATAATAGTAACCAGTTCCGATTGTATTACAACTAAAACACGACAAGGAAACAGACCGGAGTCTCACCGCCCTATTCCGATTATACTAGGGTCGAGGACGATACCATAAGTCAATTGTCAGGAACCAAACGCATCGTCCGCTAATACAACCGCAAATTCCAATCGCCGCTGCCGCCCGCCCGCCTTTCGTTCTGCACGCCGCCATGTCAGGCCTCCCTGCTGCCGCCGCCGCCGCATCCTGGCGCTCGACCCATCGACCTTGGCTACTCACCGACTCAAAGTGCCACATCGGCGACCGCGACAATGTGACCACCGCCCGCGCTGTTACAAGCCAAAAGAGCGACATCAAGGTGACTTTCGAGCTCGCCGACCCGCCCGGCGTCTCTCACTGCTTCGTCCACTGCCCCGGCCTGGTGGAGAGCCACTGCGCCGGAGATCCCATGGTTCTAAGCTCGGCGGATGTGTTTGTCCTTCTCGTCATTCCATTCACCGACAGCTCCACGCGCAAGGAGTACAACGATTTCTTCGTCTACAGGGCAGGTCCAGGGGCTCCTACTCTCCGGCTTGTCCGCGCCCCCGGCCACAACCGTTATCCCGACTATGTCACGCTGGCCGGTGTTGTGCCCCTCGGCTGCGGCGATCCTTACAACAAAGGCTACGCCGTGGTCTTCCCACAATACACCAATGTCCCGTACTACACCGACTCTACCAGCAAGAAGTACAAGTACACCCTCAACGTGTATCGCTCCGATATCTCTGGGTGGCCATGGCACACCGAGGTGGCCAGCATCGCCATTGACACCAAGCACCACAATCACGAGGTAATAATGCGGGACGAGGGCACCCGCGTGATCTTCGCCGGTAGGGAAACACTCGGCTGGGTCAATCATTGGCATGGCATTCTTCTATGCAACGTGCTCGACCACTATCCGGTCATGCCTTTCATCCAATGGCCCGTTCCGATCTCTTGCGATCTCATGTCGCGGTTCGGAATGGGAGTTGACAATATCTACGCACGGCCGTTCCGCGATGTCGTTATAAGTAATGGCGTGATCAGGTTCATCGAATTGAAATCTTGTCGATGTAGCCATACCCACAATGAGAAAGGGGTCATTGGCCAAGGTTGGACGGTCACCACATGGAACAGGGGGATTTGCTCAAAGAAGTGGCACAAGAGCTTCACTCTCAAGGCCGACAACGTGCCTCTCACAGGTTTAAGTTACCCTAAGGTATCGGGTGACAAGAGGTTGAGTTGGGACAATGTGGTTCACGGTGGGCCCACTCTGAGCTTGTGTGACGACGATATTGTCTACATCATGGCTAGACTAGACATCCGTCACCGGGTTGCATGGATGCTTGCCATTAATATCAGAGAGGGAACACTAGAAGCGGTCGAGCAGTGTTCTGCTGAAAAGATGATGGGTCTTGAACCAACTTATGTTCAGTGTGCCTTGTCCGACTACCTCAAGTAGTGGAGAAGCTGATGAAGACGGGGAGCTAGCAGGAAAACTACAGAGAAATCAGTAGTAAGTATTTGTATTAGCAATCTTGATGATTTATAACTTGCCTACAGATTATCAACTCTATTGCATGTGTTTTATTGAGTTTTATTGTGGTGAAACAGCGTGTTTATTCCTCAACAAGTATAGGGTGCATGTGCTTCTGGTTGATGTGTGGTCTTTCTTTATGACTGGAGCTGAGTTACCAGAAATTAACATGAACATGGATATCGAAACTCCTGTCCCTTCTCCGCTAGGCCTTATTGTCATTAGACAAGTTCGTTGCAACATAGCAACAATGTTGGCAATGCAAATTCTTTAGGGCTGTCTTTCAGTTACAATGTATAAATGCTTGTTCTGCCCTCTAGATTATTATGCCTCGACCAAGAAAATTAGTGTCGGTTCAGAGCTACATTATGATACCTCGAGCAATTATCCTACAGCCGTGCAGCTACTAAAACAAAAGATAGCTGACACAATAATAAACCAACCAATATAATTTGATTTAGTGTTCGGACCAGTCCATCTTAAACCTGTCAGATAAAATGCAACTGCCACTACCGGAAACTGGCCCTACCCCGACAGCCAAATCAATGCCGACGGCTGCCGTCGGCCTACTTTGCGCTATGCCGACAGCCACGTCTTGGCCGTCGGCGTACCTTGGCCGTCGGGCTACCACGAGCTAAGCCGACGGCACCCGTCGGCATACATATGTCGTCGGCCCAGCTGCGAACATGGCGACAGCAGCCGTCGGCATAACCAGGCCGTCGGCATACCCGTGGGCCCGGCGACCCCGCCCGTGACCAGCGGCTAA